GTATCTGCTGGGTTTTGGTTTCAGGACCCCTCATGGATATCAAAATCCATGGATGCTCAAGTCCCATTATATACAATGGTGTACTCAAATTATTATTATTATTATTATTATTATTATTATTATTATTATTATTATTATTATTATTATTATTATTTATACCCCACTCTTCAGCCAAAAGGCTATCAGAGCAGCTTACAAATGGTTAATTAGACATTTAGACATCCCTGTCCTCAGGCTTACAATCTTAAAAGAGAAGACACAAAAGGAGAAGGGAATGGTGGTGGGGAAGGGAAATAAGTCCAGCAGATTTTCTCTCCCTCTAATGGCAAAATCAAGGTTTGCTTTTTGGATTTTTTTTTTTTGAGAAATATTTTCAAGCCGTGGATAGCTGAATTGGTGATAAAGAATCTGTGGATATGGAGGACGGATTAAAAGTATGTAAGTGACATGTGATATTTCAAATATTTAATAAGGTACTCAATTGAAAATCCTATTTCATATTAGGCTAGTTTCTATTGTACATTAAAATTATTAAATTGTAGTGCCATCTAGTGCAAGGTAGGATTATTAAAATGCACACTGATTTAGTAAAAGCAAGCAGAGTACAAAATACTTTTGAGCACAGTATCATGCATAACAATACAACATTAACATGCATTAAGGTGTTACATGTTATATTTTTATTTATATTACTTCAACTGATGTGTTTCTAAACTTTCAAGATAATTATCTTTTAATTATTTTTATTTAGAACTATTATTATTTTAATTGAACTTGTATTCAAATTATTTGAAGTCACTAGTGTTTTAGTATTAAAATATATTGTGTTTTTATTTGGACTTGTTTTTTACTCCAGCTAGAGCTGCAGTCTTGGAGAAAAGACAGGATATAAAGAACACACCCACCCACCTTATGGGTCATCATTATTATCCAAACTTTTCCTGACACACAAATCTTTTATGCCGACAACTCAAGATACATTAAACCAGGGGTCGGCAACTTTTTTTTTGCTGGGGGCCGTGGGGGAAATGGTGGTGGGGGCTGGCGCGCGCGCATGTGCATAATGCCCACTGTCATGCACATGCGTACGTGCGGGAGGCACCATTTTGGAACTGCCAACTGTGCCAGCGCCATGAGCATGGCACCAGTGCCATTGGGCGTTCCAAAATGGCGCTCTGCATCGCGTCCGCATGTGCATGACGCAGGCCGCCATTTTGGAAGGCCCAACGGCGCCGGTGCTGTGCACATGCGGTGGGGTGCGCGGCATGAAGACGATGTGGGGGCAGAGTCAGGGCAGCCAGCATGCGCTCGACATGCCCCTACTCTGCCCCCAAGCCGGATCTTTATGCTAGTCTATTAAGCCCCTTAGTCTGCAGTACTATTCTTTTTTATTTGTGTGTATCTCCTTTTGTATATCTCAGGTGATAACACTAAACAGTAACAGAATTCTGAATCAAGGAGAAAAAAGACCAGTAGAAATTGTGCTAGTGCTAGACCGGTGACTATAAACAATTTACGGTCATGACTGTTTCTTTAACAATTAATTCCATAAATTGTCAACTGATTTGAGAGCAAGCTAGTTTTTTCTCTTTCCACTAGCATGCAAAAAATGGAGCATACAAAATGTTTTAAGCTAGACTAACTTATCGCTATTACCTGTCAGTGACATCTTGAGTGAGAGGAGGTATACCCTGGATATACTTCCTAGTGGTGCAGTGATTAAATGCTGGTACTGCAGCCATTCACAGCCACAAGATTATGAGTTTGATCCCAGGCAGGGCTCCAGGGTTAACCCAGCCTTATATCCTTTCACAGTTCACTAAAATGAGTACCCAGCTTGTTGGAGGCAATAGCTTATACATTTTAAACTGTTTAGGGAGTGCTTAAGTATACTGATAAGCAGTATAGAAATGTACTTGCTATTGCTATATTAACAGAGTACTAATTTTCTAAATGTCTTTCCTCATGCACCAAAAGTGACACCATCCACACACAAGAAGGAGATACACCCTTATATGGCCCAATGAAGAAGAGGAGCATGCTTAGTGAGTATGGTATTTCCACTTATGGGGACAAACTGGAAAGAGGGGATAAGAAATGGAATATATTGGAAAAGGTCATGGCTATTTGTGTGAAAGTTTGAATAGGATTACTCCACACTGTAACTTTTGGCTGCAGGAATCCCTTGCAGTGATCATACTATTTATCAGGTCACAGCTAGCTAAATATCTGAAAATATTAGTTTACCTCTATTGACTGTGATTTTGCATGATGATGATGATGAGGTGATCGAGGGTAAATATCAAGAAGGTGAGGGGGATCATCAGTATATATTCTTCGCATATGTTTTTTGAGAACTTTCTTATATTCAAATGCATCAAAATTTGTCTTCCACAGCAACACCTGTAAGAAGTCATAAATGTACATTTACTAATGTTTAATGCACACTTTCAAAAATTGAAGTCCCTTTATTTTGTAAAGAGAAACAGCACTAACTACCCTGCATCTCTTAAAGTATGACATGTTCATGTTATTTAACTATAAACAAAGTCCATCTAGTGAAAAACCTTTTTTTTAAAAAACTCAAATTAAAACAATTTTAACAAGACCTTGAAGGACTAATAACAGAGGAAAAGTCATCCTGATTTAAAAGTACTTTTAGTAAGGAGTGCTTTTATGTCAAACTTTTAACAAACCTGTGTATCTGTACCACCAGAGGCAAACATTTCCCCACCTTTCGAAAAAGCTGCAGAAAGGACAGGTCCCTAATTTGGGGGGGAAAAAAAAGCAGGCAAGATTTTTTAAAAGACAATATAAAATCCTCCAGTAATTTTCAACTAGTCTTTTCTTTCATTTTAAGTATAAATATAAAAAGTGTGGTGCTCATGTTCTGTTCTAGGAAACCCCATTCCATCGTATTCTTACTCCTGACTGAAAGCTTAGCTAGAACAGAGCATGGGAAATTTAGGAGTGTGATAAACATCTCACTTTGAAATATGACCAATGCTACACTGTACTATGGCTTTTCAAGGTATTATACACTTAGGGTTACTTCACAAACTAGTATCTCTATTGGAAATCACCTCAATTCAGATTGGTCCAAATCTCTTAACCAATATAGAAAATTATTAATTTTATCAAAATGTGTAAAGACAGGAATATTTATTAATATAACAAATACATTGAATGAGGCACATTATGAGTATAGCATTTATCTAATCAGTGTCACCAGGCATATTCAAGTTGCATGTTTGGCATTATAACAACTTAGGGACAGAGATTTTCGTAGTATAGAAAAATAGCAATGCATGAAGTGTTCCTTTAAAGCAGGGGTAGGCAACCTTTTTCAGGCGGGGGCCAGTCCGGAGAACAGCTCCCTTCCGGCGGCCTGGGGGGGGAATGGCGGCGCGTGCACTGCTGCTGCCACCGCTGCGCGCATCACGCCCGCCATTTTGTTTTGCCAAAATGGTGACCGCGATGCATTTGCGCATGCGCAGGAGTACTGCACATGCCCAAACGCGTCGCGGCCGCCATTTTGGAAAACAAAATGGTGGTCGCGACACGCGCGGTGGCCAAAACTCGCAGCGGCGGTGGCAGCCGGCGGCGGCAGGGAACGGCGGGGGGCAGTAAATGCGAGGCCCTGGGCCAGAACCGGCCCGTAGGCCGTAGGTTGCCAACCCCTGCTTTAAAGTAACACCAAAGAAAATATAGAAGTGATAAAAAAATATACCTTATGTCCATGAAGTGTATATAAAAGTCTTCCTCCTAAAAGATCCATAATCTTAAGAGTACCATCACTAGAAGCCGTGATGAGATAGTTACCAGAAGGATGGAAAGATGCATAGTTAACACCAGCTCTGTGAACTGATTTAAATTAAAATAATTCAGATGTTGATACATATACTGGAGACACTAATAGTACAATCTTAAAAATTATTCAGAAGTGTTCTACTGTTTACAGCAGGACTTACTAAGTGTGTATAGAATTACAGCTAAAGGTTAATTTGTTTCTTAAATTCAGTTCATTTTCCACTGATTAACATTTTTTGGATTCCATTTTTAAACAGCCTTGAAGTATTTTCTGCCTGTTTTGGTTAGGATCCAGTTTGATACTTAAGCTGTGATACCTCTTCCTAGAGTCTTGCATACACCCTAAAACCTGCTCTGGAGGGAGTGGGGACTGTCTGAAGTAGGATATATGGTATATTTCTCTGATTCTAGTTGGAAAAAGAGAGATCCATCTTAATTACCTATTTGGATTCAGGTCTGTATCCAACCACTCTGAACCACTGCTATTATCCTTATCATTTAATTTTTTACAATAGTTCCATTTTAACTATCTCTCTTTTTGTTTTTTGTATTTAACTATGATTAGAAGAATGCAGCTTTTCTTTGTGGATATATGCTCTGCTATATTTCATCTGCAGTAGTTTAAAGTACTGATTTCTCTGCTTCATTGACATTAGACCCTTTCATTAACCAATTTTCTGTGACCGGAAAAACAAATCCCTTCTTTAAATAAACCACCATAAATGATAAGTCAGGATGTTTACTTGGGAACACTGTAATTTAGGAATCTTATGGGGCGAAACAGACAGCCCCAAAGGAGCAGCTCTGCGCCACCCCTTTGCTCGCTAGATCAAGGTTGTGACAACTGCACGCCATGTCCCAAATCTGGCATTTTTCCAGCCCCAAAAGAAGTGGCAAAATGCCGATCCTTTTTGGGGTGGAAAAAAAACACCTTTGCTACGGCAGCAGTGGCTCTTCCACATTTCTTCAGCATAGGGTGTGCAAATGCTGCACTGCAGAAGTGTCGTGACACCATCCGCTGTCTGTTTGGGTGGGTGGTGTGAAGCCACTTTGGGGACAGAGTCAGGGTGGGCAGTGGGAGATCATCATGGCCCCACTCCACCTCAATGCCAGCGTTTCTTGCTGGTCTGTACAGCCCCAGCATTGCTTTTATGTTCATTCTCTGGCTTTGCTAAGGTTAATAGAACTGTACCAGTGTGGCATAGTGGTTTGAGTGTTGGACTAAGACTCTGGGGGCCAGAGTTTGATTCCCAGCTCGGCCATGAAACCCACTGGTGACCTTGGGCAAGTCACATGCTCTCAGTTTTAGAGGAAGGAAACCTACTCTGAACAAATTCTTGCCAAGAAAACCCCATGATAGGTTTGTCTTAGGTTGCCTAAGTTAGAAATGACTTGAAGGCACACAACAACAAACACAAGGATGATTCAAAAGAATGAAAAACATGGAATATTAATAATTAAAATAAGTAAAGGGGTTATGTGATGTCTGCATTTGAGCCTGGAGTACAGAGTTGGAGCTTGATGACAAACACCACTAAAATACAATATGGATAAAGAATTATTTAAGCCACCCATAGCTTTTGACAACCAGGTCAGATATTCGTGTCTAAGGTACTCTGGATGCTCACAGATCATCTTCAAAGCCCTCTCAAAGGCAAAGTACTTTTTAGTTGCCAGGCACACAAGACAACTTCAGAATAGAAGCTGGTGCCTTCCCCTACCTCATACATTGGAAGAAGTCTCTAGATCTCTGACTACCTATGGGATGATTGTTAAAATTTCCAGTTCATTTAACTCTCATTAAGAAAAGATTAGAGGGGAAAAAAGAACTTATGGGAACAGTGAGGAAAACTGCCAGTACATCCTTAAGAGCAGCTGGGTGGGTGGGTTTAAAATGACTTCTGAGAGGGAGATTAATCAGTGGAAAACTGTGGCTGCAAGGCAAATGTGAAAGTTTCTAAATCTTGTGAATATCTGAAATAAAAAATTCTGCAAGAACGGCCAGATACAAAATTTCCTGATCTTTTAAAAAATAACTGAAATAATCCTTTTGACAAGCAACAACAGAATTCAGTTTCTAGTTAATAAGGTGAAAGTCACAGTATTAAAGCTGCCTCATTAGAGTTTAGAGCTGGGTTTAGATCAGGATTATAATTTTTAAGAAAGCCATGGTTGGACAGCAGAACCCTAGGCTGCAGGAAACAAATTATAATGATAACTACTGTGACAGAAACTAGGATTTTACAACATCTACATCATTGTGGTGTAGTGGTTTGAGTATTGGATATGACTCTGGACACCAGGGTTTGAATCCTACCTAGTGAGTAAGGCAAGTTGCACTCTCTCAGCCTTGTAAAGAGGCAAAATCAAACTCGGCTTTGAACTAATCTTGCCAAGAAAATCCCATGACAGAGTCTCCTTAGGGTCACTGTAAGTGGTGAATGGCTTAAAGGCACACAACAAAAACAAAAAAGCAACAACACATATCTTTTATCATCCATACAGAAAAATTTCCCTTTTCTGAAAGAACAGGAGTTCCTTGACCTAATCCAGAAAGAGTACTGGGTCAGGAGCATTCATCTTGGGATACCCAGAATGTGGAAATCTGGATCCCAGCAAAAGTCAAATGCAAAAAAGAACACAGCATGGAAACAACACTTTATTGAAATGATTTCATTTTTCTTTTTTGTGCTAATCTGATACTATCTTGTTTAAGCAGCAAAAACACTTAAGATTAGAGATATTTTGCTGCCATCTTGTGGCTTAAAATAGGAATACAATTAAGTTATAAGGAAGAGCACATTCTAGTTGCCTTTTACTATTGTAGAATCTGAACTGTGGGCTTTGGCCCCACAGCCCCTGGGTCCTTTAGCAGAGCAAAATTAGAGAAGGAAGACCACTGATGAGATACAAACCGGATACATTTATTAATGTGCACAATGTCCACGGAGAAACTCGTGTTTCCAAATCTGGGCAAAGGACAAGGAAAATGGCTGTTGTTTTTATACCCAAACAGACAAAGAACTCATCTCTTACATCTTATTGGATGCTCTAAACTTTAAATACATAGAATTCTAAGCAATGAGAGTAAAGATCTATGCATACATTATAATCTGTTTTAGGGTACCATTTGTGCCTGACCCACTCCATTCCAGGAAAACATCAGCAGAGACTGTTATTTCCAGGACCTTTCAGGGTCTCTCTGCACTGATTTATTGTTATGGCTTTATGATGCATCCTGGCACTTCTTTGTTACAGCTTCAGGGTCCCTCTAAGGCCACTGTGTAAATAAACATTTTGACATTCCTGAACTTAAACATTCTGCTCATGTGTTTCTGTGTTAAAGGTATCAGTTCTTACAGGCCTCTAATTTCTACACACAATAGTACGCATTTCTAACTTTGGCATATAAAACATTGATTATCATTGATTATCAAATTATGACTAGTTCACTATCTTGCCTAAAACCTCAATTTATTAAAATAATACACAATGATTTCCAAACAAGCACCTTAGTCTGTGATAAGAATTTAGAACAATAGTATTATCATTAATTGCTACATTACTTTTTGGCTATATACTTTTTCATGTTCTGGTTTCCTTTTTATGTTAGGAACAGTGTGCAATGCATGCAACAGGGGTGGGAAAAGTACAGGCCACTATAACTTTGTTTTTAACTTTGTTCTATTTTAATATTGTTGTACCCCGCCCCGATTGCCGCGCAGAGGGGCGGGCTATAAATAAAAAATTATTATTATTATTATTATTATTATTATTATTATTATTATTATTATTATTATTATTATTGTTATTAGGCCAGTTGTACACTCTTCCAAATTTGGGGTGGGGAATTTCCCTCCCAAACAGCCACGAGAGGGCATTATATGAGCCATCATGCCACCTTTTCAAGCATTTTTGCTGCTTTACCTTTTTAAATATGTAAAGGTTTTCCTTTGGCCTATAGAAGGCCTTCTGCAGAACAGGAACTGACTAGATCCACTCACTTCCTAGGTTGAGGCCTGAGGATGTCCAAAAAAGGTTTAAGACCCACCAAAAACACTGAAATGTGACAAAATAGTCAGTAGCATGCACTCAAGAGGAGCAATACTACTGCTATTTTGGGGCACACTTTTTTCTTTTGCCATTACTCTCAAATTGAGGTGGGTAGGAGGATGACTTGAGGGCAGTTAACAACAAAAACAAAGATTGTCATCATTCCCAGCAGCCTGGGTTTTACCATGCTCATGGACAGGAACCCATTTCAAATACAGGGAGCGTTACCTCTGTTGGCAGATTATTATATATACTTTTGGGGTAGGGTGAGTGAAATATGAAAAGCAAAACCAGTTATCATTACCTTAATTGTAATAATTAACAAATAGTAGTGGGGTATCAGCAGACATCCTAATATAGATAAGTTTATTAATGCATATATTGGGGTAAAAAATCCTCCTGTTTGTGCATTCACTTTGCTCTATACAGTTGCCCCTCCATTCTCATAGAATTTGGATCCGCATTTCTCACCTATCCACAGGCAGTGAATGGAGGGAGATAAAATGGGGCGCATGCCTGCATGCTCCCTTGAGCGCACGCATCCATTCAAGCCTATGGGACTTAAATATACGCGATTTTCTGTTCTTGTGTGGGGGACGGTCAGGAACAGATCCCCCGCAAGAACAGAGGGTCGACTGTATTTTTTTTTCTGTGTGTCAGATAACAGTGGTTTCCTGTTGTGTTCTCACAGATATGTAAGTCTGTGCCATCAGTTAAAAAAAAACTGATCACAAAAGACTAAAATGACATCACTGGAAACTAATGCATTATAAAAGGTCTTCACCATTATCATCTGAGACAAGATGACACTCCTGTCTGAGTTATGGAAAGGGCTGTTTGCAGATGGGGCTTGTGATGACCAAAGGTTGCACATTTTTATAGACAACTGTTTAAAACTCAAAACATCTATGAAATTAAACTGGACTTTGAGATTAAACCAGATTGTGACTTGCCCATGTAACAAGAGATAGTTTAAAGACTGAACATGGATTTGAATTCCAGTTTTCTGTTTCTGTAACTTATACAACAGTAGTGTGAAGTGATCAGACATCCACATATTGTTTCAGAACACTTCATTAATATGGTTCCTGAAGATAAATTGTATCTGCACTTTGATGTACACTAGACAACATGTGAAACTACTAAAATGGTGGTGGGACAGTCTACAGTGTTTTTCAAGAACATTTAACAGACAATTAAAAGTCTATGCTGTCTAAGAGACATTGTTCATTACTGATAAAATATGCTATCGCTTTGATTCTGTACAATGACAAAAAGGAAGACAAGGAGAAATGGATATTAAAAGTGGGTAGTACAATGTTATAATTACTGAATATACTCATGTAAAAGTTGAGGGAGAGGTCCAAAGAAGGAAAAGGATGGGAATGGGGAGAAGGTTTTAACATTAGATTCAAAAAGGAAGGAACTGGAGGGAAGTAGTGTTAGGTGGTCAGGAGAGGTCCAGAGAGGGAGAAGGAGGGAGTAGCGAAGGGAAGATTTTAACACTGGATAATGCCAACAGGACATTTTAAGGAAGATAGGTTCAGCAGAATAATACAGTTGATTATATAATAAAATGCAGTATATGTAATATAACTGTAAATAAACCATATGAAATGAATTTATATTTATATTAGTGTTTCT